GTCTAGCTGTGCAACTGAGGAAGTGTGAAAGACTAACAGAAGCCGTCAAGCAACTGGTGAGCACCAGGGTAACACCCATGGGAGGAAACGGACCTGTACTTGTATGTGAAAATAACACCCGAATTCCCTAATCAAGTGGAAGAAGAGAGCCAGGCATCCCAACCTTACCCCAACGACTCAGCCTCCCGCAATATCAACTCCATTCTCTCTCTCTCCTATAAGTAAAAACATTTCTTGCAGCGAGCCTGCCTCAACTTCTGTACATTGTGTTGCACCTAGTAGTCTGTTCGCTACAGGAGACCGTAAGCTACAGTCAACCAGCCATAGTGGATAACCCGGCAAGGTACGCAGCGGTTGTCGCCAAGCAAACACTGGAAAGAGCACCTGTATGTGTTGTGTCCGGACTAGGGAAAACTGAAATGTCCCAACACGGATGGCCCCCATCAGTATGGTTCACAAATTCAGCAAAAATATCGGACACTAAGGCTCCAAATCCAAAACCAGTAGCTACCAGGCGCAATCATGATGCCTTAAACCTTGTGTGCACAAATGTCCTCGAAACCAAATCCAGTACAATTAAGGGTAGGTTGACGGACGATCGAAATCAGTGGGGTTCCATCTGTTCGTCGATCGGTGTCCATGCTAATCCCACGACATTAAAAGGAATCTCGTGTCACCCAAACGTGTTGCACTACGGCTAACCCCGGTTCCTTCGGGTAACATTAATCTCGGCGGACGAGACAGAGGCCGTTCTGCAGTTTGCGAATCGTCTCCGCAACGACTCAAGTAGAGTGCGCATACTACCCGAAATCCCGTGGAAAGAACGTTCAGCGGATCCCGCTAACAGAGAGTGGTACAGAAATAGTCAAGATAAGAAAAGATTGATTGCTCATGGTGTTCCTGAGCGTGTAGATTCCTCTTCTGGCGGTGCTCAGATGCACGACAGCAAGTAATGGCACTCCATCCGGGAGGCTCTTTCTCTCGAAAATGTCGTGGTCACGTCGTTGACAAGGATCCCCATATCTCCAAACTATAAGGGTGCGGTCCCAGGCGGTTAATATTGTGTTGTAATCAGAACTAACGACACAAACCCTACTAAATAACTGGAGTAAATTCCGTAGCAGATTGCCAACGGAAATTCGTCTGAAAGCAGCGGGAACACCAGCATCTTCTAATGACAATTCAGTAGGGGCACAACTCTCAATGAAAAAGCCAACTGCAGGACCTGACTCGGGGACGGTTTCAACAATAGCCATAATATCCGGAGGGACACAGCAGAGCACGAATAAACACCGGGATCCGGGGCATCTGAAACTTGACTATATGCCAAATTCGTCTCGAGAGTCTGTAACCCATTCAAAAAACGATTAGTCGCCGACCCTTTATTGGTCAGCGTAAACTCACTTACTTCATCAATCCAATCGAACACACTTTTGTTCTCCGAGAAGCTCTCATGCATGTACACAAATGTCCAATGGCTACTCAGCAAATTAGCTGAATTAAAACTTCGACACACGTCAGCAGCTTGGGACCTCATCGCTGTCACCGAAACTTGGTTGCTCTGTGGAAAAAAGGATGCCAAAATCGCGCTCACAGGCATGTCCGTTGTCCGGAAGGATCGAGCCGGCAAAGGTGGTGCAGTAGCCCTCTACTTTTGCAACAACCTACAATGCGAACCCATAAAGGTTTCAGAAACCGACGTACCTGACTCCATTTGGTGTAGTTTCAGGCTGAGAGGGAACGATCTTGGCCTGTTGGTTGTTGTTTACCGCCCACTATCGTCTACTCCTGAGATGAACTGCAACTTGATGGCTGCGTTGAGGCAACTGATAAACAGGAAGTACGGTCACATTCTAGTCACCGGTGACTTCAACTTACATGCTCTAGAATCCCAGGCTACACCACAAGAGTAATTCAAAGCAGACGTGAAAGATCTGGTTTCAGACTTCCCGCATTATGGCCACGTCACTACGCCCACCAGATACAGGGGAACTAACAGGCCATCCATATTGGACCGAATATTCACTAATGAAGAACTGATGGTGGAGTGATAACCGATACTCCTCTGGGCCGCAGTGATCCTGCGACGCTAGTGTTTCAATACCTATGCTACGCGGATTATCTTAAAGAGCATACCGAGGAATATCATGTCGTAACCAACTATTACGACCAGTCCGACCTCATTGATGCAACAAGCTGGTCGTTCTTAGCCGAATTGACCCCTGAGGTGTCCTGCGGAGAATTCGTCAACATATTTAACAAGCTCATGGCAAGCACATCTGAAACCAAACTCTACCGATCTAGAATGATGAAGTCTTTGGTAAGGAGCAGGACACATAAATGCATGGTATTAAGGGACAAGCATGGCGCACCTACATAGCCTCCCCGGACGACGATACCTGGGATGTCTACACAATACAAAGGAACCACTGTGTCAAACTCGTCCGGGAGGATAAACCGAAGAACCAACAAGGTCTAGTGGAAAAGTTTTGCTCCAATCCCAAACTGCTATACAGACACGTAAACATTTTGCGCAGCGTTAAGCGCGGTGTTCCTGCTGTGCACACAGCATGCGAGTTAGCCCAAACCGCACAAGAGGCGGCCAACGTTCTTGGACAACAATTTGGCCGTAGCTTCCATAGCACGCAATCATCATACATCCTGTCTAAGCAGATAACGCCGCCATCGGGGCTTAATCACATATCGTTCACCTCCACAGCTGTACTGAGGAGGCTGATGTCTCTACGCGAGTTCAGCACCCCGAGTGCAAACGGCATTCGCCGGAAGGCGTTGAAAGTTGCTGCCATGAATTTGGTGAGGGCCACTAGCAATTTTCTTTCAACGATGTCTGAACGACATGCACGTCCCCACGATGTGGAAGCACGGAATCATCACGCCTATCTACAAAAGTGGCAGCCGTGTTGAACCAGCAAATTATCGCCCGATAACACTACTTCCTGTGATCTCCAAGGTTATGGAGTCCATTGTAGCTGAGGCTTTGATGGGGTACTTGGTGAACAATCAAATTCTCGTTCCGGAGCAGCACGTATTTCGCCAAAATCGGCCCTGTACCACTAATCCCTTGATTGCTCATGCAAGCTGGACGGAATCTGTGGACGATGGTGTAGGAGTCGACGCGGCTTAGTTGGATTTCTCGAAGGCATTCGACCGTCTAGACCATCGTATTGTATTCCCCAAACTCCAGAAATATGGAATCGGCGATCCTGTCCTGGGCTGGATAGGAGACTTTCTCGTGCAACGTCACCTGAATGTGAGGGTTGAAAGCAACCTATCGGAATCCGTTGAAGTTCAGTGCGGCGTACCTCTGGGCTCGGTACTTGGACCCCGCCTGTTCCTGGTTTTCATAAATGATCTCGCGAGCGTGCTATCTTTTAAATGTCTGCTATTTGCTGATGACCTAAAGGTATGGCGTACTATAGCTGAAACGGAGGTTCCCACAGCATTACAGGAGGACATATACAAAGTGTACACATGGTTCATCGAGAACATGCTGCATTTCAACGTCACCAAGTGCAAAGTTCTCAGCATACTTCACAAGATTATGCACAAGTACCGCCTAAGACCACAAATTCGACAGCGGGCTTCTCACGAGTGCGATCTCGGCGTGATAGTTCAAGACGAACTCGGTTGTTTGAAGCAAACTGAAAAGGCATCTAAGAAAGCAAACCAGTACCTCGGCCTTCTTCGCAGAGCTTTCGGAAATTTTGACCCTTCAGTCTTTCCAAAAATGCTTAGTGCGTATGTGAGGCCGCACACGTAATACGCTATACAAGCGTGGCAACCATGGATCAAGCACCATCTCACCGCGTTCGATACTGCACAACGTAGGGCGACGAAGAGTGTCAGAGTTATGACTGGCATCCCCTACCCACTCAGGATGAAGACCCTCAAAATATACGGTGGACGTTATCGGCGTCTAAGGGGCGATCTCATAATGGTGTACCTAATCCTGAGAGACCCCAACTACCCATGCCATTCCCTTCTAATACTCAGTCAAAACACCTCGCTAAGAGGTCACCAGTTTAAGTTAGTCACGCAGTACAGCCGCCTGGAATGTCGGCGAAACTATTTCTCCCTTCGAGTGCCACAGCCTTGGAACGCCCTCCCGGAACATGCAATTAATGCTCTCACCCTATCCCTTTTCATAAAAGGCCTTGACGAAATTTTGTCAAATTTTCACTATGTGTTATAGCCCATGACCACCAGATGCTGGCACTAATGCACAACAGACAGTGGAGAGTGTCATAACCCTACTCGAGGATGAGTCAGTCCAAACCCTTTGCACAACATTTTGATAAACGCTACTACCGATAAACGCTACGATTTCTGTACCCGTCAACTCGAGATAGCTGCACACGTGTAAGTGTTGTCCTTGCTGCTTTTTTAATCTTTATCGCTTATTGCATGATCTATAACCACTCCCCTTATCGCTTTGTGTGCGCACATTCTAATTTCAAACTCCCTTTCTACGGCAGTGCAGTTAAAACTGTAATCGCCCGAACCGACCATTCCATTATCCCTTGATCTATCTTTTCTCAGTTTAGCCACCCTGTGGGACATGTCAAGCACCTGCTTTTTTACCCGTTATGACTCATTGTTCATTGTTCAATTGTGGGGATATATATCTTCTAAATCTCTATATCTAGCATTCAGTGGCTACAGACCAGAATGCAAGGAACACGATTTTAGCTCATTTTTGCCAGAATGTTCCACAACTGAATGTATTGGTAAAATCGTAAATCTTTAATTGAATTAACTCGCAGAAAAATACGGACCGAAGATAAACAACGCGGACAAATAAATGTGTCGAAAATATACAGACAAATATTATCTAATGAGTTGCTATCTAAATCAGGGAGTGAACTCAGGAATGCTACCTACATTCATCCGTATGCCTGATTGTCCGGTAATGACCTCACTTAATCTTTCACAATGGTGTAGTATGTGAGAGGAACAACCTTGCCAATGTGTTTACGTACTTGTTCCCCAAAATGGACCTGTTCTTTACTTCCTGTCCTCCGGCTCCATCATCATGCACATGAGTGTTCGTATGGCACTGCGAAATGGAGTGAAGCTCTGCTGTCTCCAAGTGTCGCATTGCTCGCCGTTTTAAGACTTCGCAGACGTGCACGCGTTCGGCCTCCATTTGAAGCGTGATGTCTGGGATAATCGCTAATGTCGCCTCTTGAACATCACAAGTGGACACAGATAACTGGGTGAGCACAGAATGTAAGGCTTTCGAAACGGTGCAGTTGCCTTCGTGGGCAAATATTGGGTCCAGGTCCGAACGTAAGGCTCTATTACACCCGTTGTGGACTGAGTGCTTGCGCACGACATGGCAACAACAATAACTAAAGGAGCCTTGTTCTGTCTCAGTCTGCTGCAGTACTTGTACAATCTTCGCACGCAATTCTTGCAGCAGACTGCTCATCGTGTTTTCGTAAACTGATACTTCCATTGGAACTGTGTTGGCCCCAGTAGACGTCAGATTCTCGTCATTGCCCTCTGCCTGCTGAGCGTGTCGCCTCCTGGGCAGATCCAGACTCAAACGCGGAAAGTCTGCTTGGCCTCTTATCAGCACAGTTTTGGGGGCGAATTGCGCAACTTGAACTTGAATGCGCCTCTCGAAGCGCTCGGGTTTCCGAGCCAAATACGAAATGCGTATTGTGCACACCTCATCGGCTCCCAAATAACCCATGCTTGGTTCCGTGGTGAGTAATCCCGGAAGCGGGTATTCAGTTTCATTATTGTTGTAGCTGACTTCAGATTCATCAAGGCTGTTGTCCGGTGTGACATGAAACTCAAATCCTACGAGGCCAGTGTTTGCTAAAGCTATTTCTCCAACAGCCGTGCGGTCATAGCGGCCTACAGCAAGCTCGAGCTCAGTACGGTCCAAGTAGTAATCCACAATGGAAGCAGCCCCACTAATTGCCATCGAGTAAGCGGGGCCTCCGTCCACCTCACACACAGCCGTCACAGTGGCCTCAATGTCCGCGTGACCGTAGAAGACCACGTTTACCAACTGGCTTGCTCCGGGTGCTAATTCTCCAAACAGTGGATTTATGTCGAAGATCTCTTCGATACCCAGAGGAATTACATCATTTTCCTGCTCAAGCAGATTATCCAGTGCATCGTTTTTCAACGGATCTGATCGTGTCCCCTGGTCAAATGGCTCTTCATCTTTAGGTGGCATAGACTGTGCGTCACTGTAGCTGACCCTACACTCAGTATCTTCAACTGGATCACTTTTTGTTAGCTCTCCGGGTTGACTTAGTTCCGCTTCCTTCAAATCTGCCTTGGTCGGTGGGATCGCGCATTCGACTGCAGGAGGATCGCTTGTCTCCCCATTTGTTGTCAACTCATCCGGCGCATCAGTAAAGTGTTGACGGTTGATAACTTCTGGTAAAAGCTCCATCTCATCGATTTCTGTTGTGCATCTAGCATCGCGCTCACTTGCTATCACAGTTGGCGACGCTGGTAACTCAGTCTGACGGCGAAATACTATGTTTACTCTATCCCCAACCAAAAATTTCCATCGATATCGAACCGGTAGAGGACTTGTGTTGGTCATGAGCATAGGTCGCGTGATCTCCGTCTGATTGAGGATGTAACCGAACCGGATCTCATCAGATTCGAAGGCTACATTGGGAAAATAGACTTCACCGAAGAGCCGGATTTTGTCCTGTAAAACAGACAAAACTTTATGTAAGTACACTCGGTAGTAAAAAGCATAGGCACTGTACCAACGACTCGAAGCCTAAACTAAGTACGTCGTACGAAAACTACACTAGAAACTACGAACTAATAAGTCTAGACTTAACGCACGGTCCGGGCAGAATAATAAAACGAAGCATCCTGTAACCGTGGTTGAATAGGTTTTGCAATCGTAGTGCAAGCGGGCCAAAATTGTACAGTGTGCGGCAGAGTGTGAGTATTTAGGCAGTGTCACAGTAACATACTAATATGAATGATCTTGAAAAAGTAACGGTATGTCAGTGATAGAGTGAAAGGAATAAATATACGATATGGTAACCGATCGTGGGAAACAGTAAAGCAATGTAAAATGAGCAGAATAATCAGATACCGTGTCTTCATGTAAGCAATCCAGGTTGGGGATACATCGAGGTTTCTTTTGAACTTTACAGGCACTATGACGTACTTTAACTGTCCCCATCTCGAAACTGAACGTGTTGACCAGTCATTGCTAGATAGCGGTTAGAAACAGCAATAACAATTCACCAGTCACTTTTATGGCGGTTTGGTTACCATGCAAATGTGGCGATCACACTGTTTCGGAATAAGAAAGGTGCAAGGGACATAGCACAAAACCCTAACAACTTATATGGACTTCGGGATCACCGCATCGACAGTGAGTTTTGACGAACGGTTGTTTACGGGGTGAACCCAAGGCGGTTGTAACGATAGATCCTCCAAAGGCAATCATTGTCTTATTTTGTAGCCAGCTGTACCCTACCGATAAGTTGGCAAGAAATGCGCTTTGGAAAGATGATTCAGTGGGGAATAACCTCAACCGAGCCAATGGTCCAGGCTGTGAACCGGATTCCGTGCTGTTTCGAATTATGGACACAGTGGGTGTAGAAACCAATTTGGAATCAGCAGCACCGAAGCTGCGGGTTGTCCCAACGAGTGTGAATCGTAACTTGTTGCGATTCAGCGAGATACCAAATCGGTGAACTTTAGGCTATTCGATACAGATAACGCGGTTGCACACTAAGAAGGACACCTCACATTTATGAGCCCAGTGATAAGTGATTCAAACGCTTTTAAATGCTACGTAAGAAATTGAAGATTAGACTATCACAACAGGTAATGGATAATGTCCATAACATTTTTGAACATATTCCGATGGAGTTACGCAGATCTACTTGCTCGCACCATGCAGTATTCAGTTCTGACTTTCAGCTTACTGGGCGCGCGGATTCCATTGTTGCTTTCGAACAACCTCCAAATGAACGTACCAGCAGTAAGCCAATACGCATTACCGACATTTCGCACGTAGGCTAAGGATGCTGCGAGGGTTGCCCGCTCCCTACACAGGCTCGAATCCACGCCTTCGGATTACAAGGCAGCCTCGTGATCCTTGAGGCTACGGACTGACTAGACCGGTTGAATTGGTTCAAACAAGGTCATCTGATCTTGGATTTTATTGCGCTGCAAATTTTTTAATCGTCTCCAGTTTTATCCAGATGACTGGCCAATGCACAAAAAATGAATGCGTCGACAGGTATATTCTCGCGTAATGCCCCCCGATATATGCGTTTTAAACACATGAATCTTTCTAAATTGCACTTTATACGTCCGCCCAGTATTGCTGTACCTTTGAATGCGAAAGTTTGAGAAATTTTCTAAGTTGCAGCCAATCTGACATCGAGTGGTAAGTACGATTAGGAACTCCACGCTGCCATAACCATCCTCTGTGCGCATTCCCTCAGGTAACTCGGCTAACACAGCTGAAGCTTTGAAGAGTCATACGGAGCCACATTGATGTACTAACCCTGGACATTTTCATCATCCTACTCACAACTACTTTGCCCCGTTCCACTTTACTCATTTATGTTAGTCTGTATGAACGAGAGTGTACTGCAGCTTTCGTTTTGGTTGACCGCTCAAAAGTTTCTTCCCCCTTCATAGACCCACCGTCATCCTGGTCCTTCAGATATGCACCGTAACCAGACAATTGTATTTGGTGCATTTGGTGCATTTGTATTTGGTGCAGGAAAAGCGAGTGAAACCCCAGCCTCGTTATTTCACTCGAAAGACTCCGATGTCTGGGCCACGTGTTGTACATTCCAGCCCACCGACTCCCGCGAAGTGCTGTTCTGCAAGCTGCGGGCGTGCTTGGAAGAAGAGGAGGGAGGCCAAGCGATAACTTGGTCGAGAGGAATAAAGTCCCTCATTTCGAACTTGGCGTCGGTTTGAGTTAACCGATTTCCGGGATGGGCTTCGAAGGACGATCAACACGTTTTGTTAGATACACAAGCTGACATGACGAGAGGCTGATCCCAGTGGCGTCTGTGTTGTGAGTTTCTTTGTCCCCCCCCATCCAGCTTGTCTTCCCTCTTCAACCACAAGCTCTCTCTTGTATCATAATATATTACTCAGCAGTGTGTTGCTTTTCTTCCTTTCTAGGTGTTTTCCTATGTATTGCGGTACAGTAGCTGAGGTGTTCGCTACCTCTAGCTAACATGTATAATGATGATTATAATGATGAAGCCGTGTATTGCCTGTTTTTCGCACTCCATAATGCTTAGTATATTGCTTTTTTCTATCTTTTATCTTTAGGTATTGCGACACAGTATTTGAAGTGTGTTTCTCACCTTCAGCTAAGGTGCAACGATTATGATGATTACGAAATACGACTGTAAAGCCTCAGAAGAAGAGAGTCAAGGAAAAGTCCCTCTTGCATTCCTACATAAACCCAACCATCGACAGCCTTGCATACCGGATCATGTTTTAAACGTGAGTACGACACGTACTTTTGTAAACAAGTTTTCTCGCCAATACGAGAAATATGCAAATGTAATTTCCTTTTCTTTGGGAAAGAGAAGGTAGTAATGTATAAAAATTGTAGGTAGCAAAAGTTAAAAAAATCTCGGACACACTACGGTGAGTATATAATTAAGGAACATCGTAAACTATCCAAGACACAACCTTTGTCATTAGCCAAAATCATACCATGACCTAGTGGAGTTTAAGGAGGGTTGCTACAACAAGTCTTTCAAGTATGGCTCGTATAACAAGCAGAACCTTTGTTTTATTGCAAGGTGATGCAAAACTTTCAGCGAATGGAATGGGACCCTTGAGCCCTGCGTTATAGCTTTACAGAAGCATGGATACCGCCGAAATCAGTCTTGCTGTACAAACCTGTTACTAGGACCAGCACCTTGGACAGAATCAGTCAATACCAGAGTAGGAGTCTATGTAGTTTACTTGGAATTATTTAAAGCGTTAGATTGCCTGGAATAGCGCATTCTCGTTCACTATTTTCGAAGCCATGGAATCGGTGAACCTGTGTAGAGATGAGTAGGCAACTTCTTCATTTCACGTCCGCTGAATGTGACAGTCCGCTGCTCCATCTCCGTCGCAATGGATTTTCAGCGTGGTGTGCTCCAAAGATAGGTAATGTGTCCACCTTTGTTCCTAACATTCATCAATGATCTTGCTAGCGTAATGCAGTCTAACTTCTTACTATCTGTAGACGAGATCAAAATCTGTAATGATATCAAGACAGTGGGCGATCACACCGCACTGCAGAGTGATCTCGACAGGGCCTGTATGTGGTCATTCGAAAAACATCGTCAGTTCGACGTACCGAAATGTAACTTCTTGACCACACGCCATCAGCTTACCCATGAATAGTGACTTAAGGACCAGCAGTTGCAACGCGCCTGGCAAGGGAACGACTTAAGGGTAGTCGTGCAGGAAGACCTTGACTGCTCGAAACAGGTTAGAAAGGCATCCAAGAGAGCCAGTCAGCATCTTGGACTCTTACGGAGGGCTTTCGGAAATTTCGAGACATCAAACTCCCCGCAACTGCTGTACGCCTACATGAGGCCCACGTGAAATACGTGCTCGAAGCCTAGCTTCACTAGCGCAAACGCGACGTCGATGCACTTAATGCTCCAAAACTAAAGCGACAAAACTCGTTAGGAGGTTAAAACGTAGTACTGCTAAGCATGTAACACACGCTACCGAGACACGTGATCCAAGCAAGCAGAACACATCTGAACAGTAGCAGGTTTATTAATCAATTAAGGGAGGTACAAGACTTACAGAACTCGCGTTGTGAGACCGGGGGCGTGTGTGGGACGATTGGTCGGCTGGTGTGGGTGATAACCAATCCGCGCACAGCTGACCTAAACGGATCGAAGTCATTCGCGCATGTAACCTCCGCCCATCTCTTGCAGTGTTTACACTCCTGGCACAGAACGATCAACGTGTTTATGCGTACTCGAGACCTACAAATTGAAGGTGCATCTGATGAGTGTACAGAATTCTGGGCGGTTGCTTCCGTCGCCGACTGTACCGAACCCAATTCACTCACACGTTCGTCTGTTGTTGTCCCAACACGATGTGGACGTATGTGGTCTGAGTGTCGCCGTACTATCCGACCATTTACTTCGAGGTCTGCTTGGGTACAGTTACCTCTAATCACAGCTGCGGGTTGCCGGTATTGCTCATGAGGAAGTCGTGTGTAAGCGGGATCACCCAACGGCCAACTAAAGTCGTGGTTATTTTGCGATGCGGCAGCCCTGTCTTGTTTTCTCTCCATTTGGGAAAGGAAGATCCCGTGTAGGACGGAGGGCTCGGTCAAATATTATCTCCGCAGGCGATTTACCGGTGGCTTCCGTTGTCGTTATCCTATACAAAAACAGTAAGCGATCTAACCTAGTCTGAATAGTTCCATGGTATTTGTTTCAAGAGACCTCTTTTAATTGTCTGCGCCGTCCTTTCCGCTAGCCCATTAGAAGCAGGATGAAATGGAGCTGTACGGACGTGCTGGACACCATTGTTATTCACGAAGATTCCAAATTCTTTGCTAGTGAAACATGGGCCATTGTCTGTGCAGAGTGTCTCTGGTCTCCCAGATTTGGCAAATGACGACCGTATTTTCGAGATACTTGTTTCCGTATTAGGGTGCGAAACTGAATAAACATCCAT